AAGTATTCTCAAAAAAAAATTTGATTCTGACGCCTCTTCACCCTAAAATCGAGCTTTAAAGTTCCCGCTTCGGCCACGCCCAATGAAGTTGACCGCGTAAGGGAAGATTGGTGATGAGTGACGTCACTCCAGGAGCGTCTCGAGCGTCGTGTTGTTACTTTGCTTGACAAACGCAGTACTTTTACAACACATCTATCGGGCATATTTATGTCGCCGAAAACTCTTTACCTTACTGAAAAAAACAGTGAAATGAACCACTGGCGGGATTTGGCGCGTTCCTGACTTGACGTCACGACCCATTCTGAACCCAATCTCTTTTTTGCCCCGACTCACGGTCACCTTCAATGGGCGTGGCCAAAGCGGGAAGTTTAAAGCTCGATTTCAGGGCGAAGACTCATCAGAATCCAACTTTTATTTAAGAATACTTTTTTACATGTTAAATACATAGCAAAACTATAAAAACCCTGTTGGCCGAATAGACACTTTCAGCTTTTCGGTGAGTACCGCCCGAGGCGGGCGGTATCCAAGAACTCGGGCACAGTTTTTCCCAATACGGACCTCTCGGCTGGTGAATAACATATATTTCTTGGGCAAAGCGCTTTACTCTCACAGTGCCTTTCTCTCCACTCAGGAGTCAAAATGAGTACCAGCGAATGAATTGTCAGAGAAGCCTGATGGAATTCCCTGGGTAACCTTGCGATGGACTAACGTCTCCTCCAGGGGGGATTAGTAATACTCCTAGACGCTTCATGCTTAGGAAACCGGGATAAACTTCGGCTGGGTGGGTCACTGGGCTCGAGTACAAAACTTTACTTTTCTATTCTGCGGATAAAGATTACCCTTTTTTAAGTCTTACCTGTTGAAGACATGAACGAGCCTCCTCCGTGATTGTGCTAGGTAAGGTACAAACCATATGATAAACCCAGAGGCAAAGAGTAGCTTATTAAAGAGCGATGAAGAAAATACAACACCGACAATCTCGGCTTCGTACACTTTCCAGTAGATAATATAAGAATAGAGATAGATTATAATGCCGTAGGATGTTTTATTCCTCAGCAAGGGAAGGACAAACCATAAGACCACACCAATCACCACAATAAACGTCCGACTCCATAGAGGGATTTTAATAAAAAAATCGTTGATTGCAAATGGGAGGAAAGTAAGAGAAAGAAGTAAAAAGGAAATTATTGAGAAAAGTCTAAAATACTTAGACTTCTTCTTAGACAACTTTTGCGAAAGAATGTAAAAGATGACAGACATGACGACCAGAAATGAAAACAGGGTAATCTTAGTGAAAGCTACGGTTCCTTGACGAGAAAGACAGTGTTCCCGGATTTGTTGCGTCGTAGCGCTTGGGTTACTTGGAGAAGGAGTTGCCGCAACGTGATCACAATCAACCTTAGCGCGAAGTAACTTTCCGAGGAGGTAATCGATGATCAAGGCAAGTGGAAATGCGTATGATCCATATATGACAATCGGTTCAATGAAGGTGACAGCAAGTACAAGGAAAAGCATTGCAATCGTATCAAGAATTCCTTGACATGGCTTCTCCCAGTTACAAAAATAACCTGCTCTTTGTCGCATGTTGTCAAAGAACTCTTTATGCCATTCTTCGCTGTTCTCTGCTTCCTCCTCTTTTCTGAATTTCCAATCCAGAAAGGCTGTGCCTGTGTAACCACCTCCTGACACGCAGCTCAGGTAGTCTACTTTTGCTTCATCTTTTAGCAGCCTGCGCAGGACGCCAGAACATAACGCCGCTGACCGAATGCCGCCACCGGAAAAAGCCAAACCAGTTTTTTTAGACGCCATGTTGCCTGAAAGATTAAAAATTGTTATCACTTCTAAACGCCAACAGAACCGTACCAGATTTTAGATCCAAACTTTCACGATCTACGCACAATATCAATTTGGTGGTCGAAAGATCTTATCCTCTCGTCTTTACAGAAAAAAAGATGTCCTCCTTCCTTAAAATATTTGCACAGCACTGATTTCCGTTTGGCTCATTAAAAATATTTTACTTTTAGGTTTAAAACTCGTCAAATTGTCAATTTGTAAACCGAAGTACCTGTTTGTCTTAAGTCCAAATTTAGACGATACCAAACATTTTGGT